ACCCGTACTTGTATTGTCTTGCATGACATATTCATGAACATTTTACTTTAGTGGCCGTCATTTGGTTAGAAAAAGTGGTTGGAAAAATCTACGAAAATTTCCTAAGGTACTTCTACACCCTCTATCACCTGTGATCATATTTATATTTTGAGTTTTTCACAGCAATAGTTCGAAAAAAATTCTTAAAGACGTTTTTTTTTGTTTAAAAAACCATAACTTTTTAATGAAGAGTCAAATCTTGAGTTTGAGCCCAGATTCTGAAAGATTATCTAATTTTACATAAAATGTTGTACATGTGTAGTCTTTTCAAAGTCCAAAACGTGGAAAAAATCGCATCGATCGCGAACGAGAAATTTCGTTACCTTGGGCGTTAATGGGTTAAAATACGATAGTACCATTTTAAAACTACTCCGCTAGATAGGGAATACTTTTATTGTACATCTGCAAGTGGAAAAGTCAAAATAATTCTATAAGTCTTCTAAGGAAAAGTCAAATAATTCTTTAAGTCTTGAATGAAAAATTTCATCACTTTGTATTGATGACATAATTAAAACCCGGAAATTGCCAAAAGCAAGCCAATTCATGGTAATATTATTTAAAATATTTTAAATGGTTATTTTTTGTTCATCAGCCCTATATTGAACTTAAGTATTTCTACCAGTTTTTGATAATTAAATTCATCTTTCGACTAAACAGGATAACAATTTATTTGAATTAGTTAAATAATTTAACCCAAAAAAAAAATGAAATAGATAATTTTTTCTGGATCATAAATGAATTAAACGGAGGATTGGCGCGCAAATAACGCGGGAAGGGTTCAGAGCCTCTCTAGTATTATATAAACGCGTGTTCTCCTTGCTCATATCACTGTCTGACGCGAACGGCTTGTGTGTCTCTCATTTTCTACATACAATATTCGCGATAACAAATAGATCGGAATGTTAGATTCAGGCGTTCAACTCGGCGAATTCGTTTGCTAAACAAACCTCGAATATCCTGTCCTTAATAAAATCCAATGTTAAGTACTCCGCGCATACACACAAACACACGTACACGTACAATGGCTTCCTTTGACTTTTCAACAAACTGCACATATATCTATACGTCCTATCTCTGCGGACTTCGATCAATTTAATAGAGTGCACATGCATACGGTACAGCAAACGGTATATAGCTATAAGCATCGAAAATTTGCCCCTATACACGTATATGTATAATACACACATTTCATCTAACACCTTAGCCTACTTTATTCATGTATATAGGGCTCCTCGTGTGTCTTCTTTTCGGGCAGCAGGAGATTTTGCCTCTTTGGCAGTGCGCCCATCGTCCGAAGAGATATAAATTCAAAAGTATACACGCGTGGATTTAATTTCGACTAGACGAGACGGATATATGCATGCGCTCTTTCTCTCTCTCTCTCTCTCTCTCTCTCTCTCTCTCTCCCCCTTGCTCGAGGATTGAAAGCTATGCGCATTTAAATGCAGATTTTTTACTCATTTTAATAGTAATATAACGTCGATTTCGACTTTTTTTCTATCTCTTTCTCTTTTCCTGTCGAGCAGCGCAATGAATCGTCGGCACAGCTCATCGTTATACATAAGTTGTTATGCATAGAATATCGAGTTTTCTAATTGAGATGACTCGCGCGCGTTGTATTAATGTGCGCGAACGAGATTAATTGCTTCTGTCTTGTTGTTTTTTTTTTAATCTTTTTATTTCATTTGAAAAAACCGATAGATCGATAAAAAGCAATGAATCGCGTAATATCGTGTACCAAAAGAAAAAAAAGGGCAACTCGCGCGCGGTATACACAAATCGCTCGTCCGACACACACGAGTCTCTATACTCGCTTTCTCATAGAAGCTCGCTCGCTCGGAAATATCACCCCGGCCAACTTCTTCATCTTTTCCTCCCGCCACCACCGCGGCCGAGAAGCTCCCGGAGGTACTGTTATATACTCGAATCGAGTGATTCGACCGCGGTTCGCTTGTTGTGTGTATATAATACAAAGTTCAAACTCCTTGTGTGTGCTCGCGTGCGCGCTCGCTCGCCCGCCCGCTCGTATGTGTGTGTGTGTGTGTGTGTGTCTGTTCAGTGTTTGTACAGCTCGACGGTATCGGACAAGCCTGACTTTGCTTCCTCCCTATTATTGGTAAGAGAGAAAAATTTCGCACACATGTGTACGATATATAATGCTCGAGGGACACAACCGCGGGTTAATTCGGACGATGAAATTTGACGATTCAAGTCGAGTCGAGGGGTGAGGAGAGAGACCATTTTTCGAGCATAATGCGAATTTCACACTCTGATTCCCATCAAAACAAATTCGCCAACAAAACATAGTGTACCGAGTTTCTTGGCCCGGTTGCGACGAGTATAAAACAATGGCACTCAATGCACTCGATAACTTTTGCCGTATACGTATATATGTGTGTATGTGTAAACTTATTAATCGAATTGATATTCGAAGCTTGTTGTCGAAGGTCGCGCGATGCTTTTGCAATTGAAAAAAAGTTGAAAATGATAATAAGCGACAGTCGCGGTTACGCGGAGATTTATGATAAACTCAACGAGCCACGATGTTAAATGAGTTCATAAATTATAAATACGAGTGAGAGCTTAAGCTCGAAATACCCTGTATTTAATGGTTTTGAAATGGCCTGCAGCAGCAGAAGCAGCGGTAGCAGCCATCCGCGCTACTATACCCCGAAGAGCAGACGATGTATGAATAATTATCATTGAATTATTTAAATAATATTCCGTTCGAGGAGTACCGTGCGCGCGACGAAAAAGTGTACGTGTGAATGTGACGCGCCCGACCACGACATTAACGTCGAGAGACTTAATTTTCAGAGAAAGAGGCTGATTTTCATTCAGCGGCAAGTGACAGTGAAAAAATTCATAGCCCTAATATCAAATTCAAGCTGCGACTTCCATTTTTTTTCTTTTCCTTTTTTTTTACCCGATGGGAAATTCATTTCACCGAAAAAGGACATTATAAATGTTTGATTATAATATCACCGCGTTGCTTGGAAAATAGGTCTGGCACAGCTGAGGGAGCAAGAAAACTTTTAACTAAGACTATATTTCGTTTGTTCGATTCGGCTCCAAAGTTTTCATGTTCTTGATTTTACTCTCCTTGAAAGATTAATTTTTTTCCTAAATATCCCGACGACTTATATAGATGCTTTTAATGCCGTCTATATAGTTAGTTTATAATAAAATTGTACGACTTCGAGATCAGCCCTCCTCCCATGATTTTTAATTAAAATAGATGCTACATCGAGAAGCGAAAAAAGTTTGTTCACTTGGAATTATCTGTACGACTGTTTTAGCGAAAATAATTTTAATGCTTACTGCTTTGACAGCTCCTTGTGTACAGTCTATTTTTCCCCAGTTCTTATTTTTTTTTTTTTTTTTTTTTTTTTTTTTTTTTTTTTTTTTTTTTTTTTTTTTTTTTTTTTTTTTTTTTTTTTTTTTTTTTTTTTTTTTTTTTTTTTTTTTTTTTTTTTTTTTTTTTTTTTTTTTTTTTTTTTTTTTTTTTTTTTTTTTTTTTTTTTTTTTTTTTTTTTTTTTTTTTTTTTTTTTTTTTTTTTTTTTTTTTTTTTTTTTTTTTTTTTTTTTTTTTTTTTTTTTTTTTTTTTTTTTTTTTTTTTTTTTTTTTTTTTTTTTTTTTTTTTTTTTTTTTTTTTTTTTTTTTTTTTTTTTTTTTTTTTTTTTTTTTTTTTTTTTTTTTTTTTTTTTTTTTTTTTTTTTTTTTTTTTTTTTTTTTTTTTTTTTTTTTTTTTTTTTTTTTAATAAAAGTTACTCCTTTTTTTATTTAAAGCAGTAATGAATTCTACCTGGCAACAAAATCAATTTCGTTCTTGTTTCACGTGTAGCAAGAGTCTAGAGTAAATCAACTTGCATATTTCATATCGAGCGTAATAAAAGAGCTCAGACGAAAAACAAGGCTTTAACGCGTTGTAACAAACTCGGAATACATTGCGCGACGCTTTGTCACAAGAGGCAAGAGAGTAGCGATCGGAAACAGAACGTCGACGTCTCTGGGCTTTTATTACACGCACAGAGAGAAAGAGAGAGAGAGAGAGAGAAAGAGAGTCGAGAACAGGAGGCTGAGTAATAAGGCTCGCGAAGGTCGCAATGATCAAATGTAATCCGACAACGACGACGACGACGACTACGGCAATGACGTGAAAACAAATGAAAAACATCTACGAAGACGACGACTCGAGGATTAATATAACGCAATACGCTCGCAAGTATAATATAAACGCGTAGATATTTCGGCGCAAGCTCGTTTCCCGACGCTCTCTACTCGTGCACTTTATAACGTCTATATCATTCTATGCATTATACGCATGCATGAGCGAGCCAATAGACCAGTCAATTATCTATTATGTTTCCTTTCCCGGCCGTTTCCTGTACTTGTCGCTCGAGCGTGCATAATTTATCACGTGTTCAACGCGCATTTTTTATCCTTTCGTAATTACCCCCCGACGTATGATTTTTCTAGCTTTGTTTTTAAAAGCTAATATCCAGACTATTCCCACTCTCGCGCGCGGGAATGCAGGTATAGGAGCTGCTGGGGTTGAACGTCTGCGCGCGGGACAAAGCGATACGATTGTTTAATGAGCCATTCCTTCCAATGAGTTGACTTTTACGATGTGTATGTGTGTATATAGGCCTGTGCTTTTATTGCGCTCTAGTCAACAACTTTTTATGCCTCGCAACCTCATTGATTTTTCTCTTTCTTTTAACATATTATCTATATAGTTTTACTTACTTTTTCTCTCTACCTTTCTCTCTTTCTCTCATTGTGTAAATTGATTTTTTTTAAACAATGCATTATGAATTTTTCATATTTTTCATATTTTTCATTTTTTTTTCAAAACGAGTCATTAATGCTCGAATAGTAACAAACAATGACAATAGCCATTCGGAACAATATAATAATACCTGTATATCTCATTGTTCTTCTCATCTTCTTTTTGCAGTTGTCACGGAATTGAACACCGACATGCCGCAAAGCACGAGAAGCGCCCGTCGCAGAAGCTCGAGTCCTCCTGGCCGTTCTCACTGTAAGTTTCAATTCAACGTCTCTTTCTCTCTGTCCCTGCCCGCTCCTGCGCTCTCCCCGTCGTCTCATTTGTAGCTAGCGCAGCTTCTTCAGGTTCTTTTGTACACTTTATAACTCATTCGTGTCTCTGCCTGTCTGTCGTCTAGCGTTCATTTTGCCTTCGCGAGTCAGAAATCGATGAAAAATATATACGATTAGTATTCCTTCGGAAAATTAACCCAGAATCCATAATCCCAATCTCGTCGACGAGGGAAAGGAAGAAAGAAGAAGAAGAAGAAGAAGAAGAAGAAGAAAAGTTAAAAAGAAAAGAGAAACGAAACGCAATTCACGAGAACGCTAGTCTATAAAAAGGGAGCACAAGATGCTCGATCGCCCGACTATATAGCGCGCCCGTTGCAGAAGCCCCAGCGCCTCTCATGCTTTCTCATTTTACCCGGTGTCGCGCGGCGCACAGAGGACAATTAAATAGAATTGATGATACAATCAATTACCACGCGGACACGGCTTTAAGCTTGCTTCTGCTTCTGCTGCTGCAGCGGCGGTGGGTCGTCTTTTTAGCGACACCTATAAAATACATCTATAACGTCGTCTATGTGTGCCACGCGCGCTTTATGGTACTCCCGTTGCAATGGCGATTAACTGGTTTTGAGTAATGCACTGATTTACGACTAAGCGCGTTAGCGTCGTGAAAGAAGCCGAGCTTCTCTCTCTCTCTCTCTCTCTCTCTCGTTCTCGAGCAAACATCGTGTAATCCCAAGTTCATGGCTTCTGCTCGCGCTATACCGCACCGCTAATAAGTCGCTCTATGAAATTCTATATCGATTTAAAAAGAAAAAAATCCCTTTTCTTGTATTGTATATCCCCGTGTATATAATACAACGCTCGAGTCGAAGGAATATAAGTTGTCTCTTGAAGAGCATTACGCGCGAGAAACAGAGCTCTGAAATGGAATGGAAAAAAGCACGTTATGTAATATTCAAAGAGAGAGAGGAAAAATACAAGCCGATCGCTATCGCGCAAAGGGTGTTTGTTAAAGCTTTCCCGATATAGATCATTTGGATGTTGAGCGATTTCTTTTTCCAGGCTGTGCACATCCGCTGGAGAAGATTTTCGAAAACTTTGAAATTTCCTAGGGCTTTTTATATTACATAAAAAAAGAACACACCTAGCCCAGCAATGAGAAAGATAGACAGACGAGGGCTATAAAAAAAGAAAAAGGGGAATGGTACTTTTGCTCAAAATACTCGTTTGTCATGCTCCTTTTGGGCTTCGCCTCGGTTCTGAGTATATCGCTCGCTGCTTTATATGCAAAGCTCACGGTCCGCGCGCGGCAAGTGTGAAAGTATGAAAAAATCACGCGCAGCAGCCGACAGAAAAATTAGACTCGGCCCTTTGAAATTCCCTATATCTATATATCATACGATACGTAGATACTGCTGCAAACGACGCGAAACACCCCCTCGAATTTATTTATTATAATCATTACGCCGAATGCTGTCAGAGGGCTATTTGCATTTTTCGGAAAAAAGCGTCGTCAAAAAGTGCACGCGTACTTTCTCTCTCTCTCTCTCTCTCTCTCTCTCTCTTCATGTCCCTCTCGCTGCGTTGTGTACAGAGAGAGAGCAAACGAGTGAGAGAGTCAGTCGGCGCGGGGGGAATGGAGAGCAGGGTCGCGGTCGCGCGCACACGCTTTTGTGCATAAGGATCGTTTATTTTCGGCTGTGCAACGGAGAAAGACGGAATGTGGCGGTGTATACTTGTGTGCGTTCGCTGCTGCAGCAAGTGTGTGTGTGAGTGCGAGAAGCGCCGCCCCCGGCGAACGATCAATAATACAAGGCAAGCAGCCACGCGTCGCGACTGCAAGTATACAGCAGTTGACACTGCATTTCTCCTGCACCGGCCGAGCTTTTCTCCCCTCGGCCTAGCTTGCGAAGCTCGAGTGCAGGTGGCGCCAGTTCATTCCGTCCAATCGACGACTCTTTTGGTATCGTTACTCGTGGCAATGTATAATATGAACGCCAATAAATATACTTTCAATTCAATTCGACGACTCTTTTTCGCGCGTCTGTTTTTTGTGCTTCTGTTTACGGCAAAGGGCAAAATTTATGTTTAGCAACGATAATGTATTGGCATACACAATTTGTCGTCGTCGTTTGCTTTTCAAAAGCTTGACGCGCTCGCATTAAATTTGAAAGTCAGATTTTTCTTTTTACGAACTGATATTAAGATTTTTCGACCACGCTAGAGCTCCACGCGTGTCATGCATCGCTCTTTTTTTTCGTCAGTAGAAAATAATAATCGCTGCTCCGTTAGGTAATGGTTTTGCTCGTAAAAATTTTCATTCGAATTTTGCTCCACTCGCACTTTGATCTTATGAGCAGCACTAATTCCGGGAGCGTTGATTTCCTTTTTTTCGTCTTTTCTCCTTTTTCTTCCGAACGATTTGAAATGAGTATACAGACCGATTCTCGTGCACTTAAAATTTGACCCGAAATGCGGTGGGAACAATAAAAAATTGTGCTTGCGAAGTCTCGACTTGTTACATCGAGACGATCTTGCCGCAATAATTATAACATTCCTGGGATCGCTCCGAAAGCCCTCGGTGAATAATTTAATTCGCGAAACATAGTTTGGAAAACGTAGACGTAATTAACATATGCTTGATCGCCCGGAGAATCTACCCACATACACATACCTCAGCCGATTACGAAATTTTATTCGTAGGTCCCCGCCACATTACACACGTGTATGTGTACGAAAACTTTTCGAATAAATCGACCCCCTCCTAATCGAGCTTGCGACACTCGTGGAAGTGCACGTTCTTTGTATTAGCGTTGAGTTATTTCGCACCTGAGTTTGAGAGCTCAAAAATGAATTCTTTTTGTTCGTATCTCAAAAACTTCTTTCATAACGATTGGAAAGCCATCATAAGAAGATGAAAACCTCATAAAAATCAATGTCAATTGCGACATTGATTTGGCTAAGCTATAGTTTTTTTGATAATCTTTTTCCACTCACTTTTCCGGTTCTTTATTATTATTATAATTCGAAACTATGTTTCTTATTTTTAATTCATAATTTGAACATCGTAACCATAAACATCAGTGTGTCCCCTTAAGGTCAGCGATAGGAGCCACGATAAAAAAATAACAGCCTTATTGCGATCCTTGACTCAGTTTTTCGTGCTGCGAGGTATGCACGACACGTGATATTTGTGTTTGGTTTTTATATATAACACATCTAAAACACGTTACGGTGCGCCTTATCACGCTCCGCCGAGTTTATTGACCGCCACATTTTGTTGCGAAATTACCTGCAATTATCGTGGTGGTGAGCATGAAAAAAACATCTTGGCATGATTTTCGACGAGAGAAAAGATTTGCTTGTTGCCAATCGTCTCTTAATTACACGTGTTATTGCCCTGTATAATTGCCGTTTAAACTTGGCTAAGCTTGCTAAACAAATCTCTACAATTTCGGTACTATTTTTTTTTTTAATATAAAATTGCTTCTTTGATCGTTCACAAGCTGCTTTTGAATACAAAACAAGTCCCAGCGAAAATATTACCCCCTTTTTGTTTATTTGCTAGTTATAGGCAGATTGCAGCAGCTCGCTTTATTCATATTTGTATGTGCGTATAACTTGTCAGAAAGGATATAGTCCTCGTATGTTTTCGCTTTATTTCGTGAATTTATTGCGTTTATTTTAGAAGCTTTTGAGAAGCCTCTGCGTGCTCGAAAACTTTAACGAGATGTTTCTGTTGGAAATTTTCAGCAGCAATACATGTATAGGCGCTGTGTATATGTTTTAGCTTTGTTTTCAATTTCAACAACTTAGACTAGAGCTCATACGTATATAGTAACGAAATTTCAAAGCAATACGTTCATAAAGGCCAAAGAAAAATATATCACCGCGCGTGCATATGAGTTTTTTTTCCGTACCGAAATCATTGGATAAATTCAACGTCGAATCGATCGAGTACGAACGGCGTCGAGTACATAAATATCCATTACGCTCAGTGGCGGCGACATTAATACACTAAATCTCTCGTTCACTCGCAGTCGGTATGTGTACGGCATACGAGCAGCAGAGCTTTCTCGCCACTTCGATCGGGGATAGCGCTGCAGGCGTCGGTGACTCGAGCGCGCGCGCGACGGCCAAAAGAGCGTCAGCCCGTCGCCACAAACCGTGCGTGTGAGTGAGTGCAAGCGAGTGAGAGTGTGTGGGTGCGAGGGGCTCCGCTGCTACTACTACTGTGGGCATGAACGCGCTAGAAAAGAGAGAGAGGGAGAGAGAGTGAGAGAGAAAATGTCTCTCGCGCGCTCCGCACACGCCGCGGACGACGAGAGGCTCGATTTTCTGTATCAAGTAGTACGAGCCGAAATACGAGCCGACGCCTGCGATGTAAGAGGTTGCCCCCTTGTATTCAACGAGTGAGCCGGTTTTCAGCGGAGCTCGGCTGTAGTGCGTAGTTGTGCAATATTGACAAAGATTTTTTCTCTTGCTTTTTCGTCTTCGACAACGAAGCTCGCGCGCGTGAACTGTGCTGTGTGCTGCGTGCAGTCGTGTCAATTTTCTAACGAACGCTACTAGTGTGACATATAGGCTGGAAGCGCCAATTGCAGTGATGCAATCCCGCGCAGTGTGTTTCTCGAGTGATATCAATTTCGCGCGCTGTTTTTCTCCAATTGTTAATCGGAGCGAAAAATACGACTGGGCCGAGCGCAATAGAAGCAATAACAATCATTTTTCGCGTTAAAAGTTTAACTAAGAAATGAGAAGCTGAGCCATAGTGGCTTTTAGTATCGCGCGTTCGAATATAAAAACGAGAGAGACGTGTTCCAGGTGGCAGCTGATTTGCTTTGTTGTATATTGGTTCGTGCTTATTTCATAAGGAGAACACACGTGATCGATCGCGATAGACACACGGATTCGCCGGTCGCAAACATTTTTCGCGCACATTTTTTGCTTGCCTAAGCTAATTATAATCGCGGCCGTATA